TGAATGGATAAAGAAGATGTGGTCTATGTATACAATGGAATATTACTCAGCCATTAGAAATGACAAATACCCACCATTTGCTTCAACGTGGATGGAACTGGAGGGTATTATGCTGAGTGAAGTAAGTCAATCGGAGAAACACAAACAGTGTATGTTCTCATTCATTTGGGGAATATGAATAACAGTGAAAGGGAATATAAGGGAAGGGAGAAGACATGTGTGGGAAATATCAGAAAGGGAGACAGAACATAAAGACTCCTAACTCTAGGAAACGAACTAGGGGTGGTGGAAGGGAGGAGGGCGGGGGGTGGGGGTGAATGGGTGTCGGGCACTGAGGATGAGCACTGGGTGTTATTCTGTATGTTGGTAAATTGAACACCAATAAAAATTAATTTATTAAAAAAACAATTATGTATAGAACAAACAGCAGAAGATCAATGAGGAAAGGAAAAATTGAGCAACACTACAAACCAACTAAACCCAACAAGCATCTATAAAAAACTTCTTCTAGGGGAGTCTGATTGGCTGAGTCAGTTAAGCATCTGCCTTTGGGTTAAGTCATGATCCCAGGGATCTGGGATCAAGCCTTACATCAGGCTCCCTGCTCAGCAAGGAGTCTGCTTCTCCCTCTCCCTCTGCCTTTTTCCTGGCTTATGCTTTCTCTCTCTCTCTCTCTAACAAATACATAAAATCTGTTAAAAAAAACTCCAAACAACATAATAATTTTTCTCAAGTGTTCATGGTATATATTTTTAGGATGGGCCATATACTAGTTAAGCCACAAAATAAATCTCAGAAAATTTAGAATGATTGAAATAATACTATGTTCTCTAAATACAACAGAATGAAATTAGAAATTAGTAACAAAAATTTGGAACACTCACAGTTATACAGAAATCAAATGACTCCAAATCAAATACTCCAAATAACTAATGGGTTAAAGATGTAAACAAAACGCAAATTAAAAAATACGTTGAGATGAATGAAAATTAAGATACAACATACCAAAAATTATGAGATGCAATGAAAGCAGTGGGTTAAATGGAAATTTACAGCCATGAATGCCTGTATTGAAAAGGAAGAAATACCTCAAGTAATTAACCTAAACTTACACTGATGAAACTGGAAAAAAACAGCAAACTAAACTCAAAGCAAGCAAAAGGAGGGAAATAAATATTAGAGTGGAAATAAATAAAACAGGCAATAGAAAAAACAATAGATAAAATCAATAAAATCAAAAGTGGTTCTTTGAAAATAGCAACAAAAGTGACGAAGCTTTACCTAGACTGACTAAGAAAAACAACTAAGGAGACTCAAATTACTAAGATCAGCAATGAAATGGGTACCCTGTTACTGAACCTAATGAAATAAAAAGGATTATAAGAAAAACTGTCAAGAATGCTATACCAATAAATAAATTCCTAGAAAGATAAAAATTACCAAAAAAAAAAATTCAAGAAGAAACAGTTTGAAAATACCTTTAAGTAAAGAGATTGAATTAATACTCAAAAAACTATCTAAAAAAAAAAACAATCTCAGGTACAGATGGTTCGTTGGTGACTACTATCAAACATTTAAAGACTGAATACTAATATTTTGCATTACCAATATTCCAAAAAATAGAAAAGGAGAAACACTTTTGTGAGACTAGTATTAACTTAATACCAATCCAGACAAATACAAGAAATCTACAGACCAATATCTTCAGTAAATATGGATGCAATAATCCTCAACAACATACTAGAAAACCAAATCCAGCAACTTATAAAAAGAATTATATACCATGACCAAATGTAATCTGTCTGCTTTCTCAGGAGTGCAAGGTTGGTTTAATATCCAAAGATCAATTAATGTTATATATCATAACAATAGAATGCAAACCAAAACCCACATATCATCTCAATAGATGTGGAAAGAACATTCGACAAAATGTAATGCCCTTCCATGATAAAAACATTTAAGAAAGTAGGAAAAGAAAGAACTTGCTCAGCCTGATAAAGGGTATCTATGAAAAAAACTACAGCCAACATTAGATTTAAAAGTGAAAGACTAAATTTTTTCCTCCTCAAAACATAATCTTATCTGAGGGGAAAAAAACCAGAAGTTTGATAATACCATTTTATTTCAACACTGTGCTGGAGGTTTTAGCCAGTGTGGCCAGAAAAAAAAAAAGAAATAAAAAACATTCACAATGGAAAGAAAGAAGTAAAACTGTCTTTTTTATAGACAACATGATCATCTATATAGAAAGTCCAATGAAATCTCCAAAAATTTATAGGAAGTAGGAAGTGAGTTTAGCAAGGTTGCATGATAACATCTCAATATACAAAAAAAAAGTGTATTCCTATTAGCAAAAAACAACCAAAAACTGACATTTAAAAAATATCATATATAATACTATCAAAAACATGAAATACTTAGCAATAAATCTTATAAAAGATGTCGAAGACCTGTATACTGACTCCTATAACTTCTAGGAAAAAAAAGAAGACCTCAATTAACTGAGAGCTATATCATGTTCAGGTTTAGACAACTCAATATTGCTAAGACGTCCTTTGCCCCAAAATTAATCTATAAATTCAACTCAATACCAATAAAAATAATAGTACCCCTTAAAAAAAAGAAAGTGAAAAAACTCACTCTAAAATTCATATGAAATTGCAAATGACCTAGAATATCTGAAACACTCTAGAAAATGGAGAACAAAATTGGAGGACCAATAATACCTGATTTTTAAAAAATATATAAAATTATATAAATATTTTTATATATTTGAGAAAAGTGCACCTGCATGAGTGGGGAGAGGGCCAGAGGGGGAGGCAGGGGGACAAGCTGACTGTGTGCTGAGCATGGAGCCTGACATGGGGCTTGATTTCACAACTCTGAGATCATGACCTGATCTGAAACCAAGCGTCAGCTGCTTAACCTACTGAGCCACCCTGATGCCCCAACACTACCTGATTGTAACACTTATTATAGAGCTCCACAATCAAGATGGTATTCATGGTAAGACAGGTATATAGATATATTATATAGAAGTCCAGAAATAGGCACATATATAAAACAAAGGATTTTCTACAAAGATGCAAAGACAATTCAATAAAGGGTAATTTTTTCAACATATGTTGTCGGAAGAACTGAATATCCAAATTCAAAAATATGCTACTTTGTACCACATACAAAAATTAATGGATCATAGGCCTAAATTCTAAGAGAAAATCTTTGTGTCCTTGGGTTAGACAAAGAATTCTTAGATATGGTTCTAAGAACATAATCAGTGAAAGAGCAAGTTGCTAAGTTGGACTATATCAAAATATTAAACTTGTGTTTTTTTTATTTTTTAAGATTTTATTTATTTATTTGAGAGAGAGCTCGTGAGCACAGAGGGAGAGTGAGAGGGAGAAGCAAACTCCCCACTGAGCAGAGAGCCCAATGCAGTACTCAATCCCAGGACCCTGAGATCATGACCTGAACTGAAGGCAGATGACTAACCAACTGAACCACCCAGGAGCTCCAAACTTCTGTTCTTTTATAAGACAATTTTGAGAGAATGAAAAGACAAGCCATAGACTAAGAGAAAATATTTGCTAAGTATATGTTTGATAGAGGGCTTATATCCAAAATATATCAAAACAAATACCAGAACAAGGAAACAAGCAACCAATTAAAAACTTGGGCAAATATTTGAAAATAAGTTTCACCAAAGAATAAGTATGGCTGGAAAATAGCACATGAAAAGATGCTAATCATTTTGAAATGCAAATTAAAACCACAATGATAAACTACTATACATATATACGTATGACATCCATACATCTACATTACATGTTAGTATATAGCTAAAATTAACAGATTGATCATACTAGGTGTTACATTAAGTAAGAATGTGGAGGAACTAGAATACTCATACACAGCTGGTGGAATGGAAAATGTTACAAACAACTTGGCAGTTTCTTAAAAAGTCAAATATATACTTATCATATATAATCCAGCCACTCCACTCCTAGGTATTCACCCAAGAAAAGCAAAAGCCTGTGTGAGCCAAAATTTGTATACCAATATTCACAGGAGCTTTATATGTGATAGTCAACAACTGGAATCAACGTAAATGTCTGTCACAGATGAAATGAAAAACTGTAGTTTGTTCTACATACTACAGAACAATAAAAAAAGGAATTAACTACTGATACATGCTCTAATGACAATGACTCTCAATTATGTTCAGAGAAAGAAGCCAGACAAAAATGAACACATATGGTGTAATTCTACTTTTATAGAATTCTCTGAAGTGCAAACTAAAGTATAGGGACAGAGGGCAGAACAGTAATTGTCTATAGGCTCAACATGGGAAGAAGGGGATAGGAAGCAGGTATACAAAAGGGCAAAAAGAGACTTTTGGAGGTGATGGATATGTTCATGACCTTGTCTGTGGTCATGGTTTCACAGATGTAAACTTATAGGTCAAAATCTGTCAAATTGCATAATATAAATACGTGTAGTGTGTGTTAATAATACCTCAATAAAGCTGTTAAGAAATAGCAGAAATATGAAAAGTTATGTTAAAATTTTATTATAGCTGATCCAGAGTTGGATCCCACAGGTGCTTGGGACCAAAACATATAGAACCATCCTAAAAGCATTTCACTCACTGAGAACACTATGGTATGTCTCCTCATTCAAGAAGCCCAGTCAAACCTTATTTCCTGAATCTGAGCTAAATGCCTACACTTCGTGACAGTAACATTTATTAACTTAATTATAAAATTACATGATTTTATTTATTTTTTTGTAAAGATTTTTTTAAGATTTATTTATTTATTTTATGATAGAAAGAGAGAGAGAGAGACAGGTAGAGGGAGAAGCAGGCTTCATGCCGGGAGCCCAATGCAGGTCTCGATCCCAGGACTCCAGGACTGCACCCTGGGCCAAAGGCAGGCACCAAACCACTAAGCCACCCAGGGATCCCCAATTACATGATTTTAGAGAAAAAAATAGGATACCTGTGTTTTGAATTCTAGAATGTTTTTTCCTGGATTAATTCTTCCGAGTAATATCAGATCCTTTATCTGCATACATTTCTTTCTAGGAGCTGTGCTGGAGTTTACAGGCTTTTTAATAATATGTTGACGGCCACGTTCAGAGTGGGAGGAGCTGTGGCTGTCATTAGCACGTCGAACAGTAAAAGCTGGTTTTTTAGGATAAGATTTTGTCTGATGCCCAGTAATACTGCCTAAGACATCAGTCCCTTGATGTGTCAGAGATTCCAATGTCCCCCTACTTGGCTGCTGGGAAGCTATTTTCCTCTTTCCTCTTTTTGGATCACAACTGGTAGGAGCCTGATCACAAACAACAGCTGATGGATGGGCATCATTTCTGGCAAGTATGCTTGTAGTCGCTGCAATGTTTAATGTGTTAGTTACTGCAGAAGGATGATTACAGGGCTCGCACTCTGGGGCTGGAGGCTCTGTGAGATCATTTCCTCTCTGTGAATACTCCCTCTGAGCAGTAAGAGCAACAGGTTGGGAGGGTAATTTAATCTTAGTGCCATCTGCACGTCTGGATTTTGGTGACCCATCGAAGGTACCATCATTGACATTTTGCTTAGAATTCAGCTCATTTCCAGAAAATTCCCTTCTCACTGTTTCTGAATTTACACAAGTGTTGGTATTTGGGCTGCTATTCCAAGTTTCTGGAGACAATGGTGTTTCCTGCATGCTTCCACAAGTAAGGCTGACAAGAGAAAGTGAACCTGACTGGGGCTGCAATGAATTTTCCAGACTGATAAGATCTTGGCTGTCCTTTTCACTAGAGATTGCTGAGCTGGACGGTGGCTTCCTCAAACTAGGACCAGACAAAGATGTAATGTTTTTATAGTTTTGGATTTTCTGGGTAATTTTTTTCTGTTTTTTTGCCACAACTAAAAGGCTCTTCTGTCTTGTGGCCAAGTTAGCCAGCTGTTCTCTCAGGACTCCTTGCTTAAATGATTCTATGGACACCCTACAGAAAGAAACAGAGAAAACAATATGAAAACCGGAGAAAAAATTTTTAGTAGTCATTTAGATTTTAAAGATACTTGTCTTAATTTAATCAGCCCAAAGTACACAAGGGTCTATTTTTGCAATGAATTTCTTCTGAGAGGAAAATGACTCTTAAGGTTACGAGTAAGACTGCCTTTTTATGGAGGTGATGGTGTGGTTTTCCACATTTATATTATTTACCAGTTGTGAGTCAACTCTGAAAAAGAAACAAAATTTGGGATAAGTAGCAACTGATGATCAAGGAGGAATACTATTCTTTAGATTTGGAGGTTGCTTACCTGTTCATAGTGGAAAGGTGTGTCAGGAAGTAACATTTGGGAATAAGTTCCATTTAAGTTCCCATAGAGCTGAAGGAGTGAGACTATTTTGTGAATAATTATACCTGAGCTAGACCTGAGCAATGTCAGTCCATCAAGTAATTACTGTAATTATGCTTTGAATCTGTACTGAATCACTTTCAGGTCCAGAGGGACTACCCAGATAGGCATTAACCTGTGTGACTATAAGGGGCTTGCATTTGAGAGAAAATGGCTAATCTACATACCTTTTTCTTTCGGTTATTCTACAGTGACCTTCAGGACACTAAACTCTTTGTTTCTAGTAGTTCTCAAACTTTTTGGTTTTAGGACTTTTTTAATACCTTTAAAAATTACTGAGGAACCCAAAGGGCTTTTGTTCATATGGATATATCTATCAATATTTACTGTTTTAGAAAATAAAACAGAAATTTTTAAAACAAGAACATTCAAGCATGCTTTCCATTACCTATTAGAATAATGATATCACACTTCATGTGGCCTCTGGAAAATTCCATTACACACTCATTAGAATGTGAGGCAAAAAGGCAAATAATATCTTAGTTTTCTTATAAAAATAGTTTTGACTTCACACACCCCTTGAAATCATCTCAGGGACCCTCAAGGGTCATCCTCAAGCAGCTGCTTTATGGGACAGCAATAGTATAGATATCTGTCTCTCTATCATAGTTTAGAGTTGTTGGTACTGAACTCCAAGCAAAACAGATGTTAAAGTGAGTAGCAGATGAAAATGGAAGAAACAGCAAGAAGAAATTAGATTAACAAACAACTAGTAGCATAAAAGGAGAAAAAATAGTAATATTGCATTTAAAACAGAGTTCAGACAGAAAAATAAAAGTTCATTTTAGATTACATGATTTTAAATCTTATAGCAATATGAATAGATTTACACACCTGCAAACCCAACTGATCAGTAACTTTCCAAAATCCACGGTATATTGTTAATCATAGGACATAAAGGAAAATTGAAGCTAGCCTTCTCCAAAGTCTCCTAGAATATATCCTGCAGTCAGTTACCCACCTGTAGGTCCTACAAGCTCACTTGCATTATACTGACAGGAAAACAGGAAATAGAAATGAATTTGTAATACTTATTCAATGGAGAGAAAAAGCAAAATGAACACAGAAGACTTATAAATGAAAATAGAAAACTGATTTTTAAATAAATTCAGGAAAAAAACTGAATGTACAATAGATGTCAAGTGCTCATAAGAATATAAAAGAAACTAGAAAGATCACATGTGAATAAAGAATAAGGTCAAAAAGATATCTGCAACCCCATACTCACTGCAGCATTATTAACAATAGCTGAGACATAAAAACAACCTAAATGTCCATCAAAGGATGAATATAGAAAATGTGGTTTAAATAGCCTAACTGTGGAAGGAGCCTCGGAGTCCATCGAAAGATGAATGGATAAAGAAGATGTGGTTTATGTATACAATGGAATATTACTCAGCCATTAGAAACGACAAAAACCCATCATTTGCTTCAATGTGGATGGAACTGGAGGGTATTATGGTGAGTGAAATAAGTCAATCGAAGAAGGACAAACATTATATGGTCTCATTCATTTGGGGAATATAAAAAATAGTGAAAGGGAATAAAGGGGAAAGGAGGAAAAATGAGTGGGAAATATCAGAAAGGGAGACAGAACATGAAAGACTCCTAACTCTGGGAAATGAACTAGGGGTGGTGGAAGGGGAGGTGGGCAGGGGGTGGGGGTGACTGGGTGATGGGCACTGATGTGGGCACTTGACGGGATGAGCACTGGGTGTTATTCTATATGTTGACAAATTGAACACCAATAAAAAATAAATTAAAAAAAGAAAATGTGGTTTATGTGCACAAGTGCACACACACAGAAGAATATTATTCAGCCATGAAAAAGAAAGAAATCCTGCCAGTTTTGACAGCATGCACAGACCTTGAGAGTATTATATTAGGTGAAAATAAGTCAGACAGAGAAAAACAAATACTGTATGGTCTCACTTATATGTGAAATCTAAAAAACTTCAAAAAACTGAACTCATAGATATAGAGAGCAGATTGGTAGTTGCCAGAGGTGGAAGGTGGAGGGTGGATGAAATGGATAAAGGGAGTCAAAAGGTACAAGTATTCAGTAATAAAATAGAGAAGTCATGAGGATATAATGTACAGCATGGTGACTATAGTTAATGATACTTTATTGTATATTTGAAAGTTGCTAAGAGAGTAAATCTTAAAGTTCTCATTATGAGAAAAAACGGCATATATAGTTAAATCTATGAAAAACTAATAAAAATAATGCCCACATAAGAAAAAAAATATAACATTTTTCTCAAGAAAAGGACAAAAAGAGGTATATAACCAATATATAATCAGGATGAAATCTCTTAAAAACATTGAGGGTTTAGAAATACACAAAACTAAATAATATACATGGTTATAATGCTTAGAAAGACAACATTTGTGATAGCAAAAGGAAAACTTTGTACTGTAAAACATTTAAGTTCACCATGGAAAGAAATTTATTTTGGAGATTCATGACCAGAGACACTTTCACAAAATTCTTTGCTGTAGACAACTTTTTAAGATACGTCTTTTTCTGAATATTTCAAGTAATAAAATATAAAAATATCTTTCTGAAAAGTACAATTCCCCATGGAGGTAATAGATTAGATGACCTCATAAAGTCATTCTTTGGTCCTATGCAACATTCACACTCTTAAGAAATTCTAGATTCTCACTATTATAACTAAGAAGGGAAATATTATGAAAACTCTAAAGCATTTCTATTTTTTCACTCACCTGTATTTTTTAGCCAGATCATCCCTTTCTGCCTTCTGTTTGGCAAGCACATAATCCATAATCTCTTTTATCTCTAACATCTTTTCAATGCATTGTTCTGGAAACATGGTAATAAAAAGTCAGTTAATGATAGAAGAAAGACATCAAATGTTAAGTTTGATCACACAAAACTCAGCCTATTAATTTTAAAAAGCCATTATTAAAAAAATAATTTATTTTTTTAAATTTTTATTTATTTATGATAGTCACACACACACACACACACACAGAGAGAGAGAGAGAGAGAGAGAGGCAGAGACACAGGCAGAGGGAGAAGCAGGCTCCATGCACTGGGAGCCCAATGTGGGATTCGATCCTGGGTCTCCAGGATCGCGCCCTGGGCCAAAGGCAGGCGCTAAACCGCTGTGCCACCCAGGGATCCCTAAAAAAATAATTTAAAAATAAAATAAAATGCCATTATTTCCTTACCCTGTTCCCTACTATTAGTGGTCCAGATATATAAATCAAAACTCACTGAATTATGCCACCCTATGGAAGTACTCTGAATAGAGCAGGTTAGCCTGAGTTCTAATCCTGCTACTCCACTTAGCTCTGTGAACCTGGACAAGTCACATGACCTTTATAGTCACCTTCCTCATCTGTGAAATGAGGTTAGGAAAGGAAGATAAATAGGAAAATAAATATTTTGTTAAAATTATTTACTTTTTAAAATATAAAGGGCACACACTGTATAAACATTTCAAACAATATGAATGTTTACATAGAAGAAAAGTAAAAAGAAAGTATCCTACTCTCACCTTCTGTTACTCCTCTTTTTCATTTCACAAGAGACTACTGTTTATACTTTGGTAGCAGTGTATTTGTTGGTGTGTGTAAAAGTTTTTAGTATATTTATCTAATGGATTATTCAATGCATATTTATAGTATATGTAACTATATGTGTATGTATGCTATATTCATTATTAAATTTTTATTAATTCATAAATTTAATAATTTAATTTTAATAAAAAATAATTAAAATAAAATTAATAGTTAATTATTCATTAAACTATATTAGATGTATTTGTTAAGTGTATTATTCTTTTTTTAAATTTATTTATTCATGAGAGACACAGAGAGAAAGAGGCAGAGACACAGGCAGAGGGAGAAGAAGCAGGCTACATGCAGGGAGCCAGATGCAGGACTCGATCCCGGGTCTCCAGGATGACACCCTAGACAGAAGGCAGCGCTATACCACTGAGCCACCCGGGCTTCCCTAAGTGTATTATTCTAGATGTGTTTACCATATGTAACTATATATGTAGTTAGAAATAAAAAGCATGTTATCAGTTCTTGTCCTTTACACTTAACACTTATATAGAGCTGTATGATATCTCAGGTTACTTAAAGATCTATATAAAATTACTTTTACAATAATTACTTAAAATTTTCCTACTTTCTTCCTCTTCTTCCTAAGTAAAGGCATAATGACTTCCTTCACCGATCACAAATCCACAAGATTTACACATAAATGTCAATTACATCAGAATCCAATTCTCAGGTAGTAAATGGAAATGCTTAAATGAATACATTTAATACATTTAATTTCTGTTAAGCTATTTGTTATTTCACTTTTGGCTTTGTTTCTTAAGTTTTTTCCTAATAATTTTAGGCCAATGCATATTTTTCTAGATAATTTAACTAGATTTTAGACCAATGCATATTTTTCTAGATAATTTACTAGATAATTTCTAGATAATTTAACTAGAAAATCAGTGGTGGGAAATGACTGAAGTTCAGAGTAGGAATTTGTTCCAGAACCCCGCTTTGCAAATTAGACAAATGATATAAATGATTTGGTCAGTATAGAGTCAGTGTTCCCAGAGTAGTTTCTGTCTTATTAGTACTATGACTAAGGATTAATTCTGTATGATGCATGTGACAACAAAGGGGGGAAACTTGATCATTAAGAATTTAGATATAAATCTGTTTGGCATATTTGACATTTAATAAAAGATGTTTATAGTATCAATGTACCCTGTCACATTGGGTTTTTCTAACTGAATTTTAAATCAGAGGTAGAAATAACATTAGCATAGTAATGAAGAAGATTCTATATTTTTCTATAAAAAAGAACATAAAGAATTTTACATGTAAATTGATACTATATACATATCAGATACATTAATCAGTGGTATCTTGGAACCTAGAAATTGCCCTAATATGTGTAAGATTTTAATATATGATTATAAGGCATTAGAAAAGCAACGAGGATGACAGAAATTATTCAACAAATAAGAGGCAGAGTAGTAATATGGGGGGTGGGAGACTCTATTCTATCCTTGTTTTGTACCACATGTGGAAAAGAGATTTCAAATGAATAACAGAGTTAAAATGCTTAGGAAAAAATAATGTATGAAATGTTCAGACTAAACATTCTTATGGTCAGTTTATTTGAGGCACTAAAGATATCTGATATCAAAGTGAATGCAAGACATCTATAACAAAAACTCAAAGAGAAATGTACACAGTGGGATTCATTATTCTTAGATCCCTCAGCCAGATCAGAATACAGGGTGGTGAATTTGTAAAAATACTTCGGAGAGCTATTGCTCAAGTGGATGGGAATCTCATTCTGAGGAGCCAAGGTGAAAGGCGAGGAGATTTCTTTCCTTTATCTCAAGCCCAATGGGAGCAGCCTCTGAAGAGAGTAATAACTTTTTTTGGTGACAATGGACTCACATCCACTTCCTTCTTGAACATGTAGAGATTGAGACCCTGCAGAGCCAGCAAGACATTCGGACAGTTGGGGAAAGGGAAAGTTGCTCCTGTACTCAAAATTAACTATCCTCCCTTCTAATCACAGGTCCAAAGTGCCAGGATTCTGAGGACTTGGTGTGGAGGCCGCTCTGTGATCCTGACTATGATGGCTTTTCCCTGAAAGAAAGAGCCTGTGTAGGGTGGATTACCTAAAAAAAAATTAAAAAATAAAATTAAAAAATAAAAAAAAAGAGCGAGAGAGACTGAGAGGAGCCAGGGAAAGGAAAATGTACGCTGCCCTGCTATACTATAGGAGCCAGGTAGAAGTCTCAGAACAGCCTCAGAAAACTGCTCTGAAGAGACTAAGTTTTATTTATTTATTTTTTTAAATGACATTTCATTTTTTTATTTCTTAATTTATGATAGGCACACAGTGAGAGAGAGAGAGAGAGGCAGAGACACAGGCAGAGAGAGAAGCAGGCCCCATGCACCAGGAGCCCGACGTGGGATTCGATCCCGGGTCTCCAGGATCGCGCCCTGGGCCAAAGGCAGGCGCCAAACCGCTGCGCCACCCAGGGACCCCCCGAGACTAAGTTTTAGACATTTGCCAAAGACTGATGAAGTCAGTAACAGTCAGTATTGGGACACCTGGGTGGTTCAGTGGTTGGGCGTCTGCCTTTGGCTCAGGGCATGATCCCAGTTCAGGATGGAGTCCCACATCAGGCTCCATGTGGGGAGCCTGCTTCTCCCTCTGCCTGTGTCTCTGCTTCTCCCTTTTTGTGTCTCTCATGAATAAATAAATAAAATCTTAAAAAAAACAGTCAGTATTTAGTTACTAAACAAGAACTCAAGAGTCCCATTGCCTTACCTTTCTATCCTCCCTTAAAGAGGCAGTGAGACGAAAATAAAGGGATCCTGCTAGTCATTGTATTGGTTATAAAATTAAATTACAAAGCATAGGGATGGGGAGGGGAGAAAAATTTATCATCTTAAAAGCATTAAAAGGAAAAAGGCTGATATTTTACTATACAGAATTTGAAAATATATATACTTAAGCATAAATTAACACATTACACATAAAAAGACAGTTAAGCTGAAAAACATATTTGCAGCGATTATGGCAGGAAAGGGGTCAATAGCTTGATCATATAAAATGGCTCCAATTTATTAATAGACAAACAGGAACAACTTCACAAAAGCAGGAAATAAAACTAGAGAAAAAATACCACTAATAATCAAAAAGACAGGTGAATATATGAGGCATTTTTCTTATTACACTACTAAAATTAAATGAAAATACTGATGCTATTAGCAGTATAAAGGAAACAAACACTAATGTGTGTTGCTGAAAGTGTAAATTATTATCTAATACCTTATAAAACAATTTACCAATACAAATTATCAGGTTTTAAAGTGTTTATAAATTTTTGACCCAGTAGTTCCAATTCTGGTAATCCTTCCAAAGAAGATAATCCTAAATTCAGAAAGGTATATGCTAAAGATTAGCAAAAAATTGGAAAAATGTAAATGTTCAACAAAAAGGGAAAAATGAATTCCTGGAACATTTATAGAACAGGATACTATGCAAACCACTAAGAATAATGGGTATGGTGGAAAAATGTAAAATTGGCAAGTTTAGCATGATCCAAACTCTGTTTTTAATAATTTTATTGAGGTATAACTATGTAATTAAATTCTTAGAAAAAAATAAAGGAAATATATACAACAAAATATTGTGGTGAGACAGGATGTAATTTTAGCACATTTTTCTTCTTTATTATATTTTGAAGCGCATTTATATATACCCTTTTAATAAAAAAATTATAAAATTGGAAATTCACCTTAGGTGTATAAGATATTGTAAATACTAAATAAAATATATGAATTATTCACATTTGCTTTATAGTATAAATTATTTTGTATTATTTTCCTCAAAACATAACATGTACCATGTGTTAGGCCAAGATGAAAGGTAGAATGGGTATAATTTAAAAGGAAATAATTTTTTAAAGACTATATACAGTATGAGCTAGGACAAGAGATGAATTAATAGTTGTATCCTGTTACATGAAAGACTGATGACATTCTTCAAGTTATTTTTTAGCTAACTACTTTAACATTCAGATCTGCATCTTTCAGGAGCTAATTTCTATCTGTAAATCATAACTCAAGAAAACACAACTGTGACCTACCAAAGATTTGCAAATATTCACTGACATTTTGAGAAATTCAGATTATTAGGTCAGGGATCAAAGTCAAGTTTACCATTTTGAACCACTAGTGTTTTTTTAAAAAGGAAGACAGCTATCCACTAAGACATTTACTGGGTCTATCTGCTCATCTGAAAGGCATGAGGATTTGCCTTACTTGAGTCACAACGGTCTATTCCTTTTCTGATCTGTTTTTAAGGGTTTCGATAGCTGGGTGAAACTGAGGAGCTAAGTAGTAACATAATCTCATCTCTAGTCACTATCTTATGCTTTTTTTCCACATCTTCATCTAAACTTATCACCAGTAGTAGCTTATCTCTGACCATGGTTCTGAGTGTCTCTCATATTACTCATGCATGTTATACCTTAAGTCTCGAAATATCTTGATTAACAATTACACTAACCACTGGTTTGCATAAATGACTTCTGATGCTCATTCCTGGTACTTTCTTATCACATAAAAAAAAGGTTACTTTTCAGCCACTGTTAAGTAAGCTTTGATATAAGATATACCTTAAGAAGCTAAGGGAGCAATGACCTTGGATGTATGAAATAATCAAACTTGAGTATGGGTCCATATTTACCTGCATCTTCAGGGGTTCGTATTTCAAATTCTAGTAAATTTCCTTGTTTTTCTTCTATATCTTGTAGAATGGCACTGATGGCCTGATGCTATCAGATAAAAATATTAAAAACTTTATTATAAGAAGTAGATATTTCTCTCTGATATGCAATTGTCAAATGTACAGTAAAAGTGCCAAAGAAAGTGCTGCTAAAATGCTCATTTCACTTTATGTTCAAAATGTATTCATGTTTTGTTTAAACTTAACTGTATATATGTTATGCATTTGGGGGAACAAGTAAACTTAAATATTTTGATTTATGTTGCAGATCAACTCCTGGTAAATAGAATACAAGAGTAGCAACCATATAAAGAATCATAATTTCTTGGGGCACCTGGGTGGCTCAGTTGGTTAAGCTTCTACCTCCTGCTCAGGTACTGATCCCAGGGTCCTGGGATCAAGCTGTGAGTCAGGCCCTCTGCTCAGCAGGGAGTCTGCTTTTCCCTTTCACTCTCCCTCTGTGCTCTCTCTCTCACACATAAATAAATAAAATCTTTTTCAAAAACCAGAATTTCTCACTGACTTCTGTTATAATCATACCTGTAGGTGAAAAAAGAACAACTCAGTACATAATATTTAAAGATCATATATATGCAATAAGTTCACTTTAAGGTTTTATGACCATCACTGCACACTATTAAAATCTCACACATAATCTTAAAAATACAAAACACTACTCTCTTAAAAATTTACAAATGGGATTTAAGTCCCTCTCTATGCCCTTGTTGGTACTGACTGTCCTGCCTGGGATGTCTTCAATTTACTTTGCCCAGATCCATCCATCTCTTTGTTTTGAGAGATGTAATCATGGAATGGATTCTGGAACTAGACTGCTTGGGTGTGAATTCTGGCTTTACCTCTTCCTAGCTGGGTGGCTACAGCATATTACTTGTTCTCTTCTTACCTGAATAGAGTAACACATCTAAAGTGCTTAGGACAGTGCCAGCACAAAGTAAGAGCTCAATAAGTACTGCTTATTATCATATAAAACCCATTTCCTATGAAACTTCTAACTAATCTAATTCATATTCATTTCTCCTCTCTCAGCATTACTTAAGAATTTCAGGAGTTTATAATATAGCATTTATATATATATATAATATTATATATAATATATATAATGTTTTACACATTGTATTTCTCCATCAAAATAAAAAAATCTTATAGGCAGGAGCATAAATTTTGTATTTGTGAATGGTTTCCACACCATGGGATATATAGCTGGTGCTCAGTAAATGAAAACTGATAGACTGACTCATATCATCTATTCTTTAATACATTCTCAATACACGTTCATTTAAAAATGTGTTGGTCCTCAAAGCCTTCTAAAGTACATTGCCCTGAATTTTTACTTTGGCACCTACAAGGGACATGAAAAATGCACATAATAAAACCATCCAACTATGTGGAAAAGCTATATCAATGCTGTCATTTATGAAATGCATCAGAGCAGAACTATAAAATATGACTATGCAAAACAAACAGACAAAATAAAGTTTATCTCTTTTTTACACTGAATGGCTATAAAAGCAAACTAAAGGTCTGAACCTGAGCCCTGGCCAAGCCACTACCCAAAGGTCAGAATAAAGAAAACATTTTTTGGTGCTGATTGTCCATTTTGCTTTGCTCTTATTGTGGATGCATTCAGTCTTGGTACCATGGGCATTAACCTTAAATTCCACACAAGCTTTACCTTCTACCATGAAGGGGCAGCACAAACTTCCCTCCAAGATCCCCCTTCTTAGTCCTTATTTTGCTTGTTTATCTTTTTTAAAAAAACAGCACCAAAAAACCTAACCTAGAATATATCTTTGGAACAAGTAGCTTTAGACAGTTTATATATGCTTACAGAAGGACTCACTATAATTTTATTCCAAATTTCTTATCTTTACTATGGCAGGATCCTTTGCCCCTGACATCTCTCTTACAATTTTGTACAATATAGCAGTGGTTAGAAGCACAAGCTCTGTAGCCAGACTGCCTGGCATTGCTTTAATTCTGGTATTGCTACTTAACAGAAACGTAATTTTGGATTAGGTTACTTAACTGTTTTTACTTTAGCTTTCTCAACTGTAATAAGGAAGATAATGAAAATCACAGAATGCTCCCAGAAGGGTTATTATGAGGACTAAATGAGTTAACATAAGGACTTAGAGGACAGTTTATCATATAATAAGTACTCAGTGAATGCCAACTATTAGCATTATTACTCCATGTACACAGGTATAGAGAAGGAGGCTGCCAATATGCTGTGATCTGAAGGTGTTACAAAGCAGCAGCAAACTACCATAGTTTGCATCTGGCCATAAAGTTACCCTTCTCTCCAGTATGATTTGAAGTTTCCAACACTCAAAAGTTTACATTTATAAAAGAGTAACTGTTAATGACTTTAAAGACTTTGTATTTCTTGAGTTTTCCTCCTTTTCTAAAGTTGATTTTTTTCTTTTTTTAATTGTAGTTGACACATAATATTACATTAACTTCAGATGTACAACAGTAATTTGATGAGTTTATATGTTATATTATGTTCACCACAAGTATAGCTACTATCTTGCCACCAAACACCACTATTATAATATCACTGACTGTATTACTTACACTTATCTTTTATTCCTGTGACTTAATCATTTCATAACTGGAAACATACCTCTCACTCCCCTCACCCATTTTACTCATCCCTTTACCCAAAATCCGTTTTCTATAGACTCCTGTATCTCCACACTTTTTCCAAAGCTTGGCATGTGAAATGATATACATTACTACTGAAGCAAACACTCATATAGTCAATAACAACAGTAGTTTTTCCAAGATGTTCTCATCTTTACCTGAAAATATACCTTAAAGATACTTACGGTCAATATGGTGGGCTGAGCTAATATAGAACAACCTCTGCCCACTTCAAACACATGAAAATAGTAGACAAAATACAATAAATTTAAAAAAAAAGATTGTATGAGAGAGAGAGAGAGAGAGAGAGAGAGAACGAGTGGGGGAGGGGAAGAAGGAAAAGCAGACTTCCCGCTGAGCAGGGAGCCAGATGTAGAACTCAATCCCAGGACCCTGGGATCATGACCTGAGCCAAAGGCAGATGCTTAATCAACTGAACCACCCAGGTGCTCCAACTTTAAATATACACACACAAAAATGGAAAATGAATGAAAAACTCCCTGATGTCATAAATGCTATTGGAGCTATTGGTGGCCCAATGGGAATTTGGAACAAATATGGTATTGGGGCTAGGTTTTTAATGCACACAAAGAAACAAGAGTAATAAAGGTAGTGCATAAAGGTAGTGACCTTTAGGTCAAATAAAGGTTAGAAAAACTCTACTTGCCTCCATCCAAGGCTTTGGGTAGAAAATAAGAGACTCAAACCTATATCACAAATGTATGTAAGAACTACATTTATATAATTTGTGTGGTTCAGGAATCCAAACTGAGAAATTAGCATAAAAACTTGTGTGAAATAGGGCCCCAGCAGAGGAAATGTTCAGCACAAAGCCTAAGCACACCAAAATTCCCACAGTTATCAGTCTTCACTTAAATGAGATTACAATAAAAAATTAAAAACCACATAAAGAATCATGTTATCATGAAAAAGAATCAGGAAGAGACTTTAAAATTCCCTTTAAAAATGTTTGGATTTTTAAAAATACTATCAATATTATAAGAGCAGAAAAATCTTATTGTTATTTCATTCTTTCTTTAAAACAAAAATTTGAAAAGCAAACAGAATTTTTAGAAATAAAAAACACAGTCATTTAAATTAAAGGCTCAATGTATGGGTTAAATAGATTAGAAATATTTGAGGAGTTAAACAATGAATTGGGAGAGAGGGCAAAGGATATTCCACAGAATGTAGTGTGGATGGGATGCCTGGGTGGCTCAGTGGCTGAGCATCCACCTTTGGCTCAGGTTGTGATCCTGGGGTACTGGGATCGAGTCCCACATCAGGCTCCCCAAAGGGAGCCTGCTTCTTCCTCTACCTATGTCTCTGCTTTGCTCTGCCTTTCCCTCTGTGTCTCTCATGAAAAAGTGAATAAAATCTTTAAAAAAAAAAAGAACATAGTGTGGAGAGGTAGAGATGGAAAATATGAAGAAGATACTAAAAGACATGGAAACCGGTCTAACAGACATCTGAATAGAAGTTCCAAAACAGAAAAATACTGAATGGAGGAGGGGCAACTGTCAAAGGTATAAGAACAGAGAGAGTTCCTGAAATACAAATGAGAAACGTGCCTTCAGATTAAAGGAGCATTTCTAGGTCTGAGTATTTTTTTAATTTTTTTTATTTATTATTTATGATAGTCACAGAGAGAGAGAGAGAGAGAGAGAGAGAGGCAGAGACATAGGCAGAGGGAGAAGCAGACTCCATGCACCGGGAGCCCGACGTGGGATTTGATCCTGGGTCTCCAGGATCACGCCCTGGGCCAAAGGCAGGCACCAAACTGCTGCGCCACCCGGGGATCCCTAGGTCTGAGTATAATTAATAAAAATGCTCCACATTTAGATACAACTTAGTGAAACTGGAGTACATTAAAGCTCTAAGATTAAAAGACAGAGTATCTACAAGGGAATGACAATTAGATTGATGGCTGACTTTCTGTCCTTGACAACAGATACCAGGAAACAATGTAAAACATTTTTGAAGTGCTGAGGCAAATGCAATTTAGTTTGAATACCACTTAAAATGAAATATTTTGTTGATTAATAGTTTAGAATCAATGAATGACATATCTTCTTGACAGTGACTAACAGAAAGCATATAAGAAAAGTCTAAACTGGGATCCCTGGGTGGCGCAGCGGTTTGGCGCCTGCCTTTGGCCCAGGGCGCGATCCTGGAGAGCCTGGATCGAATCCCACGTCGGGCTCCCGGTGCATGGAGCCTGCTTCTCCCTCTGCCTGTGTCTCTGCCTCTCTCTCTCTCTCTCTCTCTCTCTCTCTGTGTGTGTGTGTGTGTGTGGGGGACTATCATAAATAAATAAAAATTAAAAAAAAGAAAAGAAAAGTCTAAACAACATAGTGTTTTTGGTGTTTTTTTTTTAAGATT